TGCTAGACAGCTTGGAGGGAAATTCGTGGTTTTCCATTCTGGATCAGGGAAGCGCGTACCATCAGGGGTTTGTGAGTGAGGATTCTCGATATGTCACTGCCTTCAATACCCCATGGGGATTATACGAATGGGTGCGTATCCCTTTTGGATTAATGAATGCCCTAGCCGCATTTCAGCGATGTATGGAAGGAGTGTTGGAGGGCATCCGAGATGAATGCTGTGTTCCCTATTTAGATGATGTGCTGTGCTACTCAAAGTCCTTCAGTGATCATGTCGATGATCTCCGAAAAGTGTTTCAGAAAGTGAGGGAGCATGGAATTAAGCTCCGTCCAAATAAATGTGAGCTATTTAAGAGACAGGTTCGATACATTGGTCGTTTGGTGTCAGGAGAGGGGATTCAGATAGACCCAGCAGATTTGGAAGCTGTCAGGACCTTGAAGAACAAAGAACCCCACACAGTGGGAGAAGTGCGAGCGCTGCTTGGGTTTCTAAGTTATTACAGGTCCTATATCCAAGACTTCTCCAGAATAGCTAAGCCACTCTTTGAGCTTCTCCAAAGGCCCACTGGGACGAATGATAGTACACGCAGTCCTCAGGTTCCCAGTCGTCTGGGTGCATCAAGATCAAAAGAAAATGGCCAACTTAGCTCCAAGACCCCAGTTGTTTGGACTGATGAACATCGGAGTGTTGTTTCCCGATTTGTAGACATGTTAACTAGTCCACCAGTGCTGGCTTACCCAAATTTCGATCTACCTTTTGTGTTACACACGGATGCTTCCAATGAAGGCCTAGGGGCCGTGCTGTATCAGCAACAGGGCAATAAACTCCGTGTCATTGGATATGGGTCCCGTACGTTAACAACAGCGGAAAAAAACTACCATTTGCATTCGGGTAAACTGGAGTTTTTGGCACTTAAATGGGCCATCTGTGATAAATTCAGAGATTATCTTTATCATGCCCCAACATTCACAGTTTACACCGATAACAATCCGCTGACCTATGTCCTCAGCACAGCAAGGTTGAATGCGGTTGGGCAGCGCTGGGTGGGGGAGTTAGCAGACTTTCATTTTGACATCAAATACAGACCGGGTAAAGCCAATGTTGACGCCGATACACTGTCAAGGCACCCCGTGAAACTGTCGGATATCATAACAGAACACAACGAAACGTTTTCCCCCGAAACAGTGTATGCTGTGTGGCGGGGTAGTAAAGCTGTGGCCGACAGTGATGTGCCGTGGGTAGCTGCCTTAGAGCTCAACACTCCAAGGAAGGAAATTTTGTTCACTGGGGAGAGTAGTTTCACTGTCACTCCCGAAGAAGTCAGAGCAGCACAACGAAGCGACCCAGCAATCGGTGAGGTAATCCAGTTGAAAGGACGAGGCTGGACACCAAATGGGAAAGATAAGAATCTCATGAAAAAGGAAACGAGGAGACTTCTCTTTGAATGGACAAAATTAGATATGGAAGATGGAATTTTGTATAGAAAAGCAGGGCAGCACTGCCAGTTAGTTCTCCCTCCGCAGTTTAGAGCCATGGTGATTAAAAAGTTGCACAATGAAATGGGACATGTGGGAGTTGAGAAAGTGCTTCATCTTGCCCGTGAACGCTTTTACTGGCCCTCAATGGGGAAGGAGATAGAGGAGTACATAACCACCAAGTGTCCCTGTATACAACAAAAACATCCCCACGTCCATCAAAGAGCACCCATGGGTTCCCTTTCATCCAGTTCCCCATTTGAGCTGGTCAGTGTGGACTACATGCATCTTGAGCCGAGCAAAGGCGGTTATGAGTATATTCTTCTGTTGGTTGACCATTTCACGCGATTTGCCCAGGCATATCCAACGAGGAATAAGTCAGGCAAAACCGCGGCGGAGAAGATCTTTCAGGACTTCATTCCTCAATTTGGGTATCCCGAAAGACTACACCACGACCAAGGCAAAGAATTTGAGAACCACCTGTTTCAGAGGTTACAACAGCTGTCAGGAATAGCCCACTCAAGGACCACACCATATCATCCTCAGGGTAATCCTGTGGAGAGGCTAAATCGGACAATTCTGCAAATGCTCAGGACTCTAGAGGAAGAAAAAAAAAATGAATGGAAAGACTACTTGCCTCACGTGGTGCATGCTTATAATTGTACCAGGCACGAATCGACCGGCTATTCTCCATTTTTCCTCTTGTACGGCAGATCACCCCGATTGCCTGTCGACTTGTTGTTTAATCTGAAAATTAATAAAGATAGTTCAAACCAACACGCTTTTGTGCAGCAATGGGAAGACAGAATGAGAAAAGCATATCAGATTGCAAAAGAGAACAGCCGAAGGTCTTCAGCGAAGGGCAAGAAATACTATGACCGAGGAATGAGAGGTGCCATCCTTCAACCAGGAGACCGGGTGTTGGTCAGAAACCTTTCCGAAAGAGGTGGCCCGGGAAAGTTGCGTGCATACTGGGAGAAGGATGTACATCGGATAGTCGAGCGCATTGGTGATGGCCCGGTGTACAGAATACAATCCGAGACAGGTTCCAAGACTCTTCGTGTGTTGCACCGCAACCTCCTGCTGGCTGTGAATGACCTACCTTTAGAAGTGCCTAATGCTAAAAGAAAGGAGAAAAAGAAAGGACAACCAAACAAGCAAGTAATACCCCAATCAGAGAATGAGTCTGAATCAGATACCTCAGATGAGGAAGGACACACTTACCGATATGAACTTTGTAAGAATATACCTTGCTACAAATTTGTGACCATTCCACAAACGGAAAAGGAACCTGTAACTCGAACAACCCAAACCCATTCTCACCTTCGTCCGACAGCAACGGAATTCCGTCCTGATGGAAGATGTGATTTTTTGGAAAATCAGATCCTGGATTTGGATCAGGGACCCGTGGAGACACCAAAGTTTGTCCCAAGTCCAAAGCCTGCAATGCCAGATAAAGGTCAGGAGAGGCTAAGGAATGAAGCAGAAGGGGGAAGAGACATAGAAGATGAAACTGAGGTGGTGGAGGAAAGCAATGTGAGAAGGACACAAAGAGTGGGAAAACCCCGGGGAATGTTCACTTATGATGCTTTGGGTGAACCATCATGTCGACCTTGGAGAGCAGGGGCAAAAGCACTTTGGTCTACACAGCAATTCATCCCACATAATAATACTCTCTACTACCAGTGTATGCCCACTCATCCCTGCTGTCATTGGAGTCATCATGGGTACTGAGGTGGGGGAACAAAAAGAAAAAAAAGGGTTAAAGCAATGTAGCATGGGTCAAAAATTACTCAGATGTCAGGAGCCATCTAAGAAAATAGGGGAGAGTGTAGAGGGTCGAAGATTATAACTGTCTGTGTGCAGATATTGTATATATGAAAAAGATTGACCCCTCATTCACAAATTAAAAAAATGTATGAGGAACAATGTCACATCACTAAATTCATTACTGACTCCAATGTATTTTTGGGTTAACCCTGAAATGGTCATTTGTGCCTCCTGTAGAGGGCGCTTAGCGCTTTTGAGAGGTGGAATTGAGCAGCTCAGGTCAGAGTTCATAAAACCTCAACAGAGCTCGCGGCAAATTCATGTGTCTGTCGTACTTTTCTGCAGTGTATTCCACTTACCTCTTCGGGTCTCTCCAGCCTGAGACGGGTAACAGACCCATTGTCAGACCCTACGCTGGTGCAGTGGGTCCTGGGTTCCTCCTGGTGCACGGCAATGCCTGGCCTCATGTGGCGAGAGTATGCAGGCAGTTCCTGGAGGATGAAGGAATGGATACCATTGACTGGCCCCCATGCTCGCCTGACCTAAATCCAATGGAACACCTCTGGGACATTATGTTTCAGTCCATCCGACACCACCAGGTTGCACCTCAGACTGTCCAGGAGCTCAGTGATGCCCTGGTTCAGATCTGGGAGGAGATCCCCCAGGACACCATCCGTCGTCTCATTAGGAGGATGCCTCCACGTTGTCAGGCATGCATACAGCATGTGGGGGGCCATACAAATTACTGAGTACGATTTTGAGTTGCTGCAATAAAATTTCGGCAAAATGGACCAGCCTACCGCATCATTTTTTCACTTTGATTTTTGGGGTGTCTTTGAATTCAGCCCTCTGTAGGTTTATCATTTTCATTTCCATCAAACGATGTGGCATCCTTTTGTTCCTAACACATTTCCCAGTCAATATCACTAGAGATGTACAGCATGATTTTTTCCCCCATTGAGATCTGATGTGTTTTCAAAGCGTTCCTTTAATTTTTTTGAGCAGTGTATATTGTAGCACCGGCGGGGAGCATGTCCCAGCATGCAGTTGTAAATAGCCATTGGATTGTTGTTGTTATTGCTAATGGCTATATTTCCTTATTGTCGCGTGTGTTTGCCTGTGTCTTGTGTGTACCCTGTCCGATCCTCGTGTGTAATTAGCTTACGTAAATCTCCCACCGTATGTGTATCTTACAGTTCAGCGTCTGACAACCTTGTGTTTCTTATGTGTAACTGGTTTGGTGCTTGTTGGGTGCCTGATACAGTCCTTTTCAGGACTACTAATAAAGAGCGTGTTCTCCCCGGCAAGTGACTGTCCGTGTTTCTCTCTGCTCCAGCGATGCCTTGGTCAGCTCAATGCCACAATATGACCCCATAATTTGTGCTTTAGTTTTATCTTCAGGTCTGAAAATTCACTAAAGAAGCCTGATCTGCATGGTTGAAGTGCTACAATCTTGTCAAACTGTTAGAGTGTGTCCAAAATGCGAGCAACTGGACTGTGAGAGACGCATGCAAGAAAACATGAAACTGCCACACACATAGAAGGGTTGCGATTCAAATGGCCAACCCAGGGGATCTGAGGTTCTAGTTCTACCCACTGGTGCTACCAAAGTCAGTACTGAATAAAAATGGCTGCATAAAATGATTTTATTACAGAAAGAGCATTTAAGATTATGTTGATGGCTTGGTGTCTTTTTGAATCATAAATCATGCATTGAAGGTGTACATCTTAATGTATTGCCATTGAGCCAACACACTTGGATACTTTCATTTATTTATTATCTCTTTGTTTAGCAAACCCTTTTGTCACAAGTGATGTACAAATGAAGTAGGTAATACATCCCAAACATTGCAGTTGTGAAGAAATCAGCTTCGGTATAAATGTTGCTAGGCTAAGCTTCTAATGAATGACTACAGACAAGTGCATGCTAACATTACAGAACTGGAGCTAAGTAAAACATTATAAAACAATCCAGGAATCTGACAACTATTCACACCATGAGGATTGGGTTCTTACTAGACAAGGGCAAGTTAGCACTGGAGCAAGAATTATGAAAAACATTACAATAAATTCTGCAACAACCTAGTGCAACCGGTCTCACTCTGAGGGCGTCGATGCAGCTGTCGTTGCCGAGGTCCCTTTTTAAATTGCTCTTACGGCACAAAACGGTAACAAATTTCCATGTGCTCTGGTCAAATAAAAAAAAAACTAATTTACGGAGTATCAGGTTGAACAAAAAACTGGATTTTGTGCAACTATCACATTAAAAGACTAAATTAAAAAATGAACGTGCTACATTAGCACTAACTTAGCAAAATAATACACTAAACATCTTGTGGTAAAGTTTTTTTGCTATATTTATCGATATTAAGACACATCTTATCTCAGCTCAAACCGTACAGTTACAGATGTTACAGATCTGAGGATGAATTTAATAGTATTTTATAAATGGCGTTTTAGTGCAAGATTCCAGAAACACTTGCAATTGGTTTAGATGGTTAAGCATTCTGGGCAACAAAAAGTTTCCTGCACACTGTCAGCCGACCGGTTGTAGTAAATGTGACCCTCAGTACATTTGGACCAGTGGCTGAGTTTCAGAAAACCACAGATATCAGCACTGACGTCTGATTCTTTCAATGCCCGCCACTCAATCGGTGTTTTCACCTTCTCCGAAATGCTACGGAGAGTGAGACGTATATGATTAAGGTCCACCTCTGTCAGCCTATAACGGAGTCTATGGAGGATGTCATCCAGCGACTTTCGCTCTTGCATGAATTCCACTGACACATGAGCTTGGGAATGATTAAGTCTGTCCAAATACACTAGGGCTTCGGCAAAGACCTGAATCCTCCTGACATCATTCTCGAGAACCCATCCTAACTGCGTCACATGGGTGACATTTTTACTGCAGCTCTGTACCTTCAGGTCGATTTCGACCCGCAGGCTTTTTGGCAGTTGAGCTGTGTTCAGGGTTATATCAGCCAGATGGGATAGAAGCACAACTTGTCTGTGAATATTGTGAGCTCCACTTAAATCTAAGTGATCTTCTAACCTGGGGAGGAGAAGGGAAAAAAATTGGCAATTTATCCCCTGCTTTATCCTCCCCCTCACAGAGTTTTTAATGTACTCTGAATACATCTTGGCTGCCCTACTCTTCAACAACTCGATGTCAGACAGCAGAAGTTTGACCACGGCACCGTATCGCACGGTCCTGAGGATAGGCATGCAGCATTTGGGGCAACTCTTAAACTTGATTCTGTTCCCATCCGGAGACCCCATCCAAGAGTCGAAACCAGTCACTTCGAAAATATGCCTGCAGTCTGACAGCTGTACAAAGTGAGCTTCTGGGTCAGCTTCTTTCCCAAAGAAGAGCTCTTGCACATCCCCGGCATCACAGATCCGGCACTTATCTGGGCACGGTTCACCGCACATGCCAATGCACTGATGTTGGCAGGGTAGCCGTTTAAAGCAGGGCATCTGGCAGGGGAGTCTGTCACAGGGCTCGTGGCACAGCCGAGTGCAGCGCTGATGCCTACATTGCCAGGGGCAGGGCTGGGTACAAGGCTGACAAGCCTCACTGCACACCTTTGGGCATATCTGATGCAGACATTGGTTTTTACAAGGCTGGAAACAGGGAACACAGCTCGCCCCGCACTTCTCCTTGCAACAGTGTGAGCAGATCAGCTGAACTTCACACTGAGCAACACACGTAATATGTGCGGTTCCGTTGTTGCACTGGAAACATTTCCCAGTGCACATGTGGCCACAGTCCAACTGAGCGTTACATTTTTTCAAACACTGGATTTTCCCCTGTTTGCAGTCAACCTCCTGCTTTATGTGGCATGGCAAGACTCTTTGATGACCACAATCTAAATCCACAGTGACATTCTGGGGACAACGGGATGTGCAAGATTCCCCACATTTGCGGATACAGGCATGGCCACACTGTAAGGTCTTTGTGCATGGAACAGTACAGACAAACTCCTCCGGATCAACCGAGCAAGGAACAAGCTGCTCATGATTACATCTGGGAATTACCTTAGTGACAGGCACCTTACATTTCCCACAAATGTCTGAACACACCTTCGGGCACTTGTGTTTGAACTGACATAGTGTCTTGGTGCAGGGCTTCATGCATTTATACTGCTTGTGGTCATCAACCGGGTGGCAGAGCCTGGGGCAACCATGGTCACAGTCGAGCTGATGTTCGCAGGGCACGGAGCATCCCCCTAGGGGTACCTTTGAGAAGTCTGCTTCCTCAGACACAGTAGTGATGGTGCCAGGATGGTTCTTGCAGCGCAGGTTCAATGCTTTGCCAATCTCCCCATGACTCCTGAGCTCCTTTATGATCTTGCCCCACAGTGGGACGGTAGAAAGCATCGACATGTTTCCGATGCAGAACAGGCCTTTTTTCGCCCTAGACAGAGCCACACAAACACGGTTTGGTATACTCAGGAAACCCACCTTTCCTTCCTTATTGCTTCTAACCAAGGACAGTATTATTATATCATTCTCCTCTCCCTGGTATCCATCTACAACAGACAGTTTAACATCACCAAATTTTTTCTTATCCATAATCTTTTTCAGGCAAAAGAGCTGACCGGTGTATGTGGTAAGAACCGTAATCTGGGAAGGATTATACCCCTGACAGATAAAGTAATAACAGAGAGCCTTGACAAAGGTGGCCTCATGCTTGTTCTGGTGACTTCGGCCTTCAGAGATGTTCTCTTCAAGGTGCTCATGTTCCACAAAGAAGACATTTGAAGTGACACCCTGAAACAACGCCAAAATGGTTTCATTACTGAACTTACATTTGAAATGTTTCGAATTGAGGTGTTTTGGTTGCCTTGGTGTTAATTCATATTCATTTAATGTGCTCCCTTTATTGGTGTCTCAGATCATGTTAAATTTTTCCTGTGACACGTGTTGGCGATAATTAAATGAATAGATTGAAATCTTTAGCTTCCAAAGAATTAAATACCTGCATAACTGTGTATTCAGAAAAAAATTAGAGAAATTTCCCGCATACTGGATCTATGTTGTGGCATGAAAAATCTTTTAAGCATCAAGGTGTCTGGAAATTTTAAACACTAAATGGATTTAGCAGCGATGAGGAATTAATTTGGCTCAGACCGCATCATAGTACTTGATAATTGACAAGGAAGTTAGATGTACATATAAGTCAATATATTTCTGACTTTTGATACTTTCAGTTGTATTTCACAGGATAAAGGACACTATTCTTTTTAAAATTCTGTTAGTTCTGCAAATTAGTACATCTTACTGATTGTAGTATGTTTTGCACCAACAGACCTGGGCCCATATTCACAAAGCATTTCCTTACCACTAAGAGTACTCCTAAATTGCACTAAAAGTTTTGAACTAAGAGTTTTTTTTTCGAAAACCGATTCATAAACTGGCTGAAAGCAACTTTTAGTTAGTAAAAGAGCCAACTCCTAAGCTAAGACTCCATCGCTCTGGCTGACGTCAGTTCTCATGCTTGCCTGCAATAACCATGGGGATTGGTTGATAAGAGGCCAGTATATATGCTGGTGAAAATGTACATGCAGCATCCCATAAACACAAATACAGTGGAAACCGCTTATAGTGATCATGGTTATAGTGACCAACCACTTATACAGATCTAAAAGTTTGGGACAGAATCATTCCTGTTCAAAAATTAACTTATTGTAATCAAGCAGTCCACTATATATAAGATATATCAGATGCCGGAAAGCTGGTCCATGCCTTTATCTTCTCTAGACTGGACTACTGTAATGCACTACTCTTTGGGATTCCTAGCAAGACCCTGCAGAGGCTCCAATACATACAAAACTCTGCAGCTAGGATCCTGATGAGAGAGCGTAAACATGAGAACATCACTCCCATCCTCCACTCACTTCATTGGCTTCCCATCTCCGCCAGGATTGAATATAAGGTTTTGCTTCTTACTAGGGCTGTCAAAATTAACGGGTTAACGTGGATTAATCCATCATCATGATTAATCTGATTAAAATTTTTAACGCAATTAACCCATCTGTAGCGCAGAATGATTCAAAATCACTGAAATGTCTCTGTCAACCCATTTCGGGCAGTTTTGGTGCGTTCCATTTCCCCTCGGAACTTGTATTCCGAGTCGGATTCCGGAGTTTTGAAGCCGGAAGTGACTACATGCGCTCCCGTTTCTCGGACATCCGAGAAATATCTCGGAGCAGCACAGAGGATCCCGATGGCTGCGCCTTTTATCAACAGAAGGGAAAGTTGTAGTTTTATATTGTTTAAGCACTACTTCTCATTTGTGGCTCATTAAATCGGTCGCACACGCTATACTCTCCAACTTATCTGTGGATGTGTTGCTACGGAGTTTTATATGTAAAGCACCGCACGTAATGTGTTATCAACTGATATTGCTGACAATGGCAATTAACCGGGCTAGAATTGGACTTCATGATTAGTTGGATTATTTGTCGGATTTACGGTAGTTCGTGCTAATTGTAAGCATCTGTGTCTTGACGTAGCCAGGCCTTATCACTGGAATTTGACTGCGGGGTTCTGGCTGCCCAGTGGGGGTGAGGTGTCCCTTTTGATGTGGTGATCAGGTGATTTGGGTCCAGTCTTGTCGGAGCCGGTGGACCTTTGCTTCAGGACACTGGGTGGAGCATTACAGGCTTTCCAGAGCTCAGACCGACGGAGCCTGCAAGGCCTCCAGCCTTACAGTAAGCGAACGAAGATAAAGACCATTTAAACTGAGGTACCTTAAATCCGACAAGTTGTCCGGCTAAGCAAAAATGCTTTTTGATATGGGTCCATGGTATTGCACTTCTGTGGCAGATGGAATGCATCCGACTCATGTTCAAGATGTTCAATAAACATGTTAAGTGTTTATTCCGTTTATATTCCGTTTTTTCTTGAGTCTGTTTGCTCATGCAAAATTAAATGTGATTAATATAGATTAAAAATGAATGATATTTACTCATGATTAATCAAAATTAATCCACAGGAACCCTGTGATTAATCTGATTAAAAATTTTAATCATTTGACAGCACTACTTCTTACACATCAATGCATCCATGGACATGCCTCCCCCCCTACCGCAAAGAACTTATCAACCCACAACGTGCAATACGTTCCCTTCGTTCTACGCACTCAGACCTCCTCCACATACCCATAACCAATCTGAAGACTATGGGAGATAGGGCTTTCTGTGTTGCTGCTCCACGCCTGTGGAATGCCCTCCCTGCCTTCCTGAGGGCACCACAATCCACTGACTGTTTCAAAAAGCATCTTAAGACATTTCTTTTTAACAAAACCTTTGGTTCCCCCACTTAAAGGTTTTAAAATGGTTTACTTTTAAATTGTTTATTTTGTCTCTTTTTTAACTTGTAGCCCTTTGAGATCATGTGATGTAAAGGGCACTATAAATAAAATGTATTATTATTATTTATTATTAAGAAAGTAATTTTCTCTCAATGACAAATATAGACTCATCGAAGTTTATGATCAACTGCCAAAAATTAGCCACCGAGATGCAGCAGCGAAACTACAATAAGGTATTTTATTTACAGTACTGTATTATAGCATATTTGAATTATACGCAGTTCAGTAATTTGAAAAGCATATGAAACAGTTGTACTGTACTTTGAACAAATCAATAAAATTCTGTAAATAGCTGTCCGTATTACTACTTTATATTCATGTAATGATGAATATTTAAATATCAATTAGATGGTAATCTGCTCGAAACATAAAGAAAATTTAAAAAAAATAAAATCGGTTATAATGATCATTGTAAGTGGTTTCCACTTGATATGCTGATATGATATGAATTGTATTGCCCTGATGGACACTGCTATGAGGCGGTTTTGTTTTTGTTTTGGCCAATTGCATCTGTGAGAGAAATGCCTGGGGAAAAGAGGAGTTGGGCGTGTGCGCGGCGGGAAAAAAGCGAGGAAAGGAAGCTGGAGAAAGCGCAGAGTGGCTGGCTGCTGGTGTGTTCATGCGGAGAGTCCGTGCGAGATCCTTCTCAAAGGAAGAGGCAGAGGGGAACTGGGTAGCACAGCGAGCTGGCCGGATTTGGGGTTCGGAGTGTAACCCAAGCCGAAAGCAGTTTTCTTCAGTCGCCGGACAGTCACGGGGAGCAGTGTTAAGCATAGCAAATTTAAACTGCGCCATCAGCTGAAGCTAGCAGGACCTCGGCTGGCTTGGACCGAAACACTGCCTGGAGATGTGGACCAACAAGCTCATGACGTGAATTTTCGCACCTCCTTGGAAGTGTGAGTACTCCTGTCTAGTAGTACGAGCTCCAACGGGCACCAGCCAACCGGCATGAAATGTGTGATTTTCTTGGCACATATCCGGGTATTCTCCTTTTTTGTGCATTCATTTGATGTATTCAATTGATTGTGTTTTTTATGTATAAGAGTGTACATTGACTACAATGTTCTAATTTGTCAAATGTGCTTTTGTGTACTGCTTAAAGTGTAATGTAATGATCTGGGGAGGTGTGAAAGGAAATTAAAAGACAGCATTTTCTATATTTTTTCCCTTTTGAGAGCATGTTCCTAATCTTTTCAGGGTTGCATCAACTCTTAATTATAAGGGATGTGTAAAAGGAAGGAATTGGTATAGGGTAGCGGGTTGAGGGTCAGAGATAATAAATGGTCATTAAGGTGTTAAGTTGAAGGAGGCCAAAATAATTTGAAAGGGGAGTATTTTATAGAATAGCTTAACATTAAGCTACCTGGGACATCTCCCAGTGTGCACCAAGTTGGGGGTGGCTACACTCAGTTTGTTGGAGATGTTACTGCATCCCTCACAAGTTTCATAACAGTCATTATTCCCTCCTTTAGCGGTATCTTTTAAGTAATTCAGAGTTCGTTTGATGTTTCCAAGGCATTGGATGTGGATTACGGCAGCCATTTTGCGATTGTTTGTGAGTTTGTCTTAGTGACTTAGTCCTCTCGACTACTTGTTAGTTCTCCCAGACTTAGATGCTACTTTTAGCACTAAGGGGCTTTGTGAATTGCTCTTAATCAAAAAAATGAGGAGTCCTACATTTGGGACTAGTGCCAATAATTTTTAAGAGTTTCTCCTAAATCGGCAAGGTAGGGGCTACTTTTAGCCTTAAGATGCTTTGTGAATATGGGCCCCGTTTAAAGCTGCCTAAAAATCATGGTTACTGAACAATAATCAGATGCTGCACTTTTGGGGCTGAACCGCAGCTGGCGATGTAGGAGTATATTTTATATGACCAAGGGCATGGTTCAAGATTTTGGGCCCCATGAAAGCATATCATATTGGACCCCCAACCAAGACCAATACAATTATGTTCCAATTTTTTTGCAATTGTCCTAACAACCCCCCTCCCCCACTGATGTAGCTGTATATGACCCAGTTTTAAATGAAACAACAGTGTTTTCCAAGAAGCATCTAGATGTTGTACTTCAGGTTACTCTGACATTTAATGGAAATTAAATTGCTCAAAGTTTATGGATTCTGTATGGAGTATATAGATATTTACACATAGAGTTTCATATATATCTGAACCTTAAAGTTACTGAAGACTTTATGCACCTTGTTCACAAGCTGTACTTCAGAAGCCACCAAGCATTAAAACCAAACGTCTAGTTACCTTGATGTTTTCATACTCATAGACCGAAGAATCATTCTCCAGCTGGTCATAGATATATGGTGTTAGCAGACGTGCAATCTCCGGTCTCATGCGATGCTACAAGACAGGACAAATTCTTTGTGATTACTCAGTGACTCCTACAGTAAATCTGCAATGAGAACTACACTGTTAAAGAAAGACGCTGGGCGTTATTTCACATGCATGTTCACCCTCACCAATGTGCATATGGTTGGGAAGTCACCCTTAATGTTACTGTACCATTGCTTTGAAAGCATTTAACTCCCTCTTACAAGTTTAATAAATAAATATATGTTCTCAAATCAAACCAATACCTGATAGTCAAGACGAACATATGGAATTTTCATTTTGATCAGCCTCTCGAACAACGACACCTCCAGATTGAAATTAATGGCAAGCTGATAGACTGTTGCACTGGGGCGAAGCTATAACAAAAGTTTTATAATAATTATTATAATAATATTTATAATAATAGCAGCTTCAATGTAGCCTAAAATGAAAAATGTAATTTTAAAGAATCACAAGGTTCCTGTGGGAGGGAGGTGGGTACCTGCTGGTGGTCTCCGATCAGGATGAGGTGCTCGCAGCCTGGGGTCAGCGCCATCACAATGTGTGCCTCCATAACCTCCGCAGCTTCCTCCACCACCACAATCTTGGGCTGAATGCCTTGCAGAACCTTGCGGTATCTGGCAGCACCTATCGGAACATCGTTTTTCCACATCCGCATTGGCTGAGGTGACCGAGTCCATCTCATACCATCTCGTAAAAGTCATGTCATGGTCAGGCAGTCATGAAGTGTAGACAGTTAGCTGATCCATCCCTTCCCCCGGCTTTCCGAGGTACTGACTATAGATTAAGGATATGCCCAGTGAACAAAATAGAAAGCAACTTAGCTTGCATGGATTTGGTGGAACTGATATTAGAAAAGGCTTCAAAATCTCATCATTATAAATTCCCAAATACCAAATGGTTTAATGTGGTTCCGTTCATTACTTAACTGGTTAGCTTTGGCTTAAATTAGATCAAAGCTTATTGAGTATCCTACACCAGTGTTTTTCAACTAGTGTGCCATTATAACTGGCCAGGTGTGTCATGTATGTGAATATATACATATAGGAAAAAGCTTTGTATACAGCAACTTTTCGTTAATTTAATTGTCCAATAGGCTTTAAGCACACGATTGTCATGTAATCAGAGGCAGCTGAGAATAAGACCGGCCTGCAATTGACGCTCGCTTATGTACGTATGTTTGAGAATTTGCAAAATGTCCTGTAGTAAAAAGACAAGATCGTGGACAAATTTTTAACCCTCAGGAGTCTGAGGCCTCTCAGCCACTTTCAGGATAGTCTGACATGCTTTGACATTTTAAAATATTTCACCTATCTAAAAAACATTTATCCCCAAGTGTTACATGTGCTTTTATTCAGCACAAACCCAGCACCAATAATCTGAGACCACTTTTTGTTAAAATCAGCTTTAAACATATACTTTTCAAAAACCTATTTCAGACATGCTGAGAAACATTTCTAGCCAAGACTTTTGAGCTCTGCAGCTTATAGACACAGGGGTTGGCTACACACAGGTGAATGACACATTCTGAAATTTTATGTGGTTTGATAACTAAAATGTTAGAACTTTAGAGTGACACTCTTTTTTGTCAAAGTCAGTGGCCTATGCAATGAATATTGATGAGATAGGTGTTCCCACACCTGTAGTAGTTTGCATACTGTCAATGGCCCATCAGTCTGTCAGTATGTCACTGCACCCCATATCCATCACTTTGGAAAGGCAGTTTGAAACGCAAGAAAAATAGCAATAATAAAATCCTTTTCACAGTTTATTGGTAGATGGAATGAAAAATGAAAAACTGTGAAAGCGGTAAATATGATGCAGTGCCTATGCAGAGTTAACGAAAATAAAATAATTCACTATTATTAACGCTCTGGGGATGAGGGCATCGTTGACTGTGTATCTTTCTCTTGTATTTCAGTTTATATCTCGTAGAAATCATTATGTAGAATCGTGAAAAAAACACTGACTAAATCCGTAATCTGCCTTCTTTTCAAAACTTCCATTGTCGGAAGCTTCAGCAGCAGTATGAGTGTGCCATATTGTAGCCGATCAGTGTAAACACTACCCAGACATGTGCTCTTGTTTATTTGAACATGTGCTCTTGTTTATTTGAGTCACAACGGGCGTATTCACATATTTCTTTACCCAATACCAACTGTCAGGTTATCATGTTATTATCATGTGAAAAGCGCAATTTGCAAGTGGGCAGGCGATCAGAGCTGCTTCGAGATGCAGACGCTTAAGTAAGTCCCAGCACTTTTGTCTCCGTTCCGTCCATGTTCGGCACGACAATATTATTATTCGTAAATGTATTAATGGTTTATTATTAATATTAAAATAATTAATAAGAAATCTTTTTTTAAAATGCATTTTATTATATAACAATTACTGTCTATCATTGTCTAAATGTATTTTTACTGTCTAAATATATGTATTCAGCCAGTGTAAACATGCAGGATGCTATCACAGCGAATGCCAGGCTGAGACTGAAGCGTTACCATTTGTTACCGCTGAGAGACGTGCTGCGTGACTCATTACCCCATGCGTACAAGTTATCTTAGGTTGGCGTTCACAGTTTGACTTCTGAGTTCTAGCTAATTTTTTTTCGAACTGGTTGGTTCGACTTTTAAGAAATTAGAGTTCTAATGAGTTTGAGAACTGAAGTACCACTGTATCTTGATTTGGCATGATTTAGAGAACTTGGAGTACAAAGGATTTTGAGCAGTAACGTGTGACTGGAACAGAAATGAGAAAAATGTAAGTTAAACTGGTTTTCCAGGTTTATACAGACATGTTATATTGCTGTAGCGCCCCCGTTTGACCGATCGGCACAAAATTTGGGGAGCCCTTCCCCAGTACTGTCCTACAGGATATATTCAAGCTTGGTGATAATTGGCTGAGGCAGGCCTGAGATACAACTGTCTGGTTGAAATGGGTGTGGCACCTATATTTAATGTCATTATTAACATTAAAATAATTAAGAAATCTTTATTTTTAAATGTGTTTTATTATATAATAATAATTACTGTTACAGTCTATCATTGTCTAAATGTATTTTTACTGTCTAAATATATGTATTCAGCTAGTGCAAACATGCACGATGCTATCACAGCGAATGCGAGGCTGAGACTGAAGCTTTACCCTTTGTTTCCACTGAGAGACGTGCCGTGTGACTCATTTCCTCGCGCGTACAAGTTATCTTAGGTCGGTGTTCACGGTCTGACTTCTGAGATTCAGATCGAGTTCTAGCTAATTTTTTTCGAACTGGTTGGTTCGGCTTTTAAGAAATTCGAGTTCTACTGAGTTTGAGAACTGAGGTACCACTTTATTTATGGGGGCTCTCGATGAAACGGTGCAGATGCTGTGGTGAAGACTTTGTTTGGGTTAACAGAAGAAGCTCTTCTGTTTTGAAAGAAATAGTTGACTAATTGATGGTTGTTTTCAGTATGTAATGTTATCCACTGTATTAACAAGGAAACAAAAACCCATTACCGTTGCTTGTAAATCAGTTACTGAGGGGACAATTTGCATAGGCGTGGGAAGACGTTTGAGCTCAGGCGGGTAAAAATCTTTGGTGAATTTTACTTAAGTTTTTTTGTATCACTGGTAACTATCAATAGCCATTAATGGTAGTCTTTTTGTAGAAATAATCATAATGACGCCGTTACAAGGTAGTTAGCATAACGCTTTGTTTTTCATTGACGAAGCAGATAAGAGGTGCTAAAGCACCCTCGGTGTAGTGTAATTGGTTATTCAGTTGGAGACTACGGGGTCGGTGAGTGATGACGTCGGGGCAACAAGGTAGACGAGAGTAGCGGGGAATCAGCAGAGAGTGAATGAGAGACGCAGAGAAAATAATAAAGACACGCTACAATAACATTCGGACTCACAAAGTGGTTTTTAATAACACGACACTCGGCACCCCTACTTCCAGTGTTTAATGGTCGTATGTCATAACGACTTTTATGGGACGAATAACTGTTCTAGGTAATTTTTTTCCGAACAGGTTGGTTCGACTTTTAAGAAATTCGAGTTCTAGAATGAGTTCGAGAACTGAGGTACCACTGTATTTGCATTTTGTTTTGAACATGCTGTTTTAATAAAATTGTTCATGACACCTGTCATGTGGCTTTGACTTAAAAATGTAGTCCATTTCATACTTACATATACTGTACAGTTGTCCCTCGCCACTTCTTGCTTCGACTTTTACGGCTTCACTATCGCGGTTTTTTGTATTGTAGCACCGGCGGTGCGCATGTCCCAGCATGTCCCGCGTGCAGTTGTAAATAGCCCTTGTTGAGTTGTTGCTGTTATTGTTAATGGTTAATACCTTATTGTTGCCCGTGTGTTTACCTGTGTCGTGTGTACCCTGTCTATCCTCGTGTGTGATTATCTTCTGTAAATCCCCCACCGTGTATGCGTCTTACAGTTTGGCATCTGACAGCCTTGTGTTTCTTATGTGTAATTGGTTTTGGTGCTCGTTGGGTGCCTTGTGTAGTCCTTGTAAGGACTGCTAATAAAGAGCATGTTTTCCCAGCAAGCGAGTCTCCGTGTCTCTCTGCTCCCGCGATGCCTCGGTCTGCCCGTCGCCACAGTATATTCATTAAAAAGTTGAATAAGACAATGAAAATGATACATTGCTACGCATCGGAAGCATCATTGGTTTGTGATTTCTGAGAACTTTTATCTAAGCCCCACAATGGCTTTTCATAGGTTGGTGGTTGTGTGCATGCGTAATTAAATATACAATAATAATAATAATAATAATATGATATTTGTAACGTCTAATACAGCACTTCTCAAAGTCCGGACTCCGGTCCGGATCCGGACCCGGAGGGAATTCAATCCGGACCCGCCACCATTTCGTATTTCAACAGCAGTAATTTAAGGGATTAAAAGTCTGGATTTCCTACTTTGATAAACGCATGTCAGAATCATTTGTTTAGTGTTTTATGTCTTTTTGGAGATGGTCCGAAATTAAAGCGAAGGCGAGATATTTAAAGTTTTCCTCCGTGATTCAGTTGCCATGACATCCAGTGAGTGTATACTTTTGACGTAATCGGGCACGAGCCGCGCAACGCGACACTTCACCGCAGTAAGCGTTTGAATGGGTGTGGAGGATGTCATTGTCCAGGAAAAGAAAAGTTGACGAAGAAAATAGAGTTTTCAAAAATGATTGGACAGAGAGGTATGCGTTCATTTTGCCCCAATCCAGCACGAAGCCATTCTGTTTGATTTGTAACGAGACAGTTACAGTTGGAGTGGAAATGTCAAACGGCATTATTTTGCCACTTTTGCACTTGTTATTCATGTATTTTGAATGCAAAAGGCACCTTATTTTTTCATAAAATGAATGTTGATTTGTTATACATGTTTATTAAAAACAAGTTTTGTAATTACCAATAGTTCCAGACCTTTGTCATTGATGAAAATTCAGATTTGGACCTTTGAATGTAGACTTTGAGAACCCCTGGTCTAATATGTCTTATTTTCTCCTATTTAATATATTGGGTAATATAAATCTAATGGTGACTAAAGGGTGTTATTTCATGCCTAGAGGGCTCTAATAATGTTAAAAACCGTATTTAGAAGGTCGTAAACAAGTTTTCTATGCTCTAACTATGAAATATTCGATTTATAAATAAAGAATCCTACTTCGCGGAAATTCACTTATCGCGGTAGAGTCTGGAACTGATTAACCTCGATAAACGAGGTCCAACTGTATATCCTGTATTGCTATTCTGCTACAAAATATCCAGCTATGGGTTTTGGTCCATGTCGCTCAACACAACCATGAAGTACTTACATGTGGTTGTCATGCCAATGATGCTGGCATTCTTCAGGATCATCTCGTCCTCAGCGTTTCTTAGTTCATCCAAGCGCTCGATTATTCTCTGGAAGTTGTTCTCAGATTCCAGAAGCTTTTCCTTCAGGTCTTGCCGGAACAAGGAGACCCAAAGTCTGAAAAGTAAGGTATTTATCGACTGATTCTGAAAAACTGAATGCATCTACATCATCTGTAACATTTCAACTACATATTAATAAAGATTAAGGCATTACTTGTAGATATTTGGTTTTTTTGTGATGATTAATAAGTTATTTGGATGTGTAGTTTCTGGTAAAGTTGTGATCATCTGTAAAGGCTTTAGAGCTACTTTTTAGGTCATGTCTCAGAGAATCAACATGTGCCTAGTAGATTTGGGTGGGATTTAACTTGCCGGTAGAGGCTCCACCGCTGTATGCTGGGCAGAGCCCAGAGGTTAGAGATCCTCAAAGCCTCCGTCTTTGTCATGTGGTCAGTCTTCTTAAGTTCTGCCTTTATGAACCGTTTCAACCTCTTCTTCATTTCTTTAGTTATCTGAAAATATCACAGCAATTACTATGATTTGTTCATGGTACTATCATACTAAGAAAAAAAGATGCTGAAAAATAGGCAGGCAGTGTATTAACTGATTAACCCTCTGGGGTCGAGTGCATTGTCGGCAATGCAGCGTACTTTTCGCATCTATTTCAGTTTATATCTCGCTGAAATCTTAATGTAGAATCATGAAAAAACGCTGGCTAAATCCATAATCTTTCTTTTACGAAAATCCATTGTCGGAAGTATTAAAGTTTTTAAAATTAGGTTAAATCTGAGAAAAAGTAAACCATGTCATTTTACTTTGTTTTACCTGCATCGGGGGCGTGTAGTACCACTGTCACCCGAAGATCGCTATTCACATTATAAATAGCTGCATTAGCGCATATTCAAATCGCATTCGCATGGTAATTTGATTAACAATGCAATGGTGAAACGTGATCCAGAAACATCCCCATCAGCGCCATAAAAGGGGGTGGGGGACGTGGCCAGGTGTCAATGGCTCATTCATACACATGAAAGTTGCTACATATTCAATGAAAGGAGCTAGAAATAGTGACATGAGTTAGGTTTTTCTTATTTATTTATCTAAATGAATGTTGTAACTACACCATTTAGTCATCTTCATGTAGCCAAGACTTTGGTGATCAGATATCTGGAATCAAAACAAACTGCCAGCATTGCTTACTATGTACTTTTATAATGTTTCTGCAAGTGTTCCAAACTGCATTTTGCAATGTCTATACTTTGATGTCAAATTACAAACTTAACAAAAAATCTGACATATTTACAATATACGTTAAAATAAAGATGATTGTAACGGCAAAACAAATAATTAAGAAATAATTTATTTGCCATGAATTAAGTTTATATTTGAAGAAATGTGTGATCATGCCCCAGTCAGTGAAAGTGTGTTTCCTACCCCTAGACCCCAAAGGGTTAATGAATCTTATGTTATTAAATAAAAATGATTGTTTTCTTGATTGTTCAAGAACATTGTAGCTTCATAACTGCAGCGGTCTACAATGTCTGCTTACTTCCCACCCTTGGTCGTAACCATCCTCTTCATTTTTATCTCTGAGCTCTTCCTCCTCCTCCTTGAGCACACAGGCCATGGCTTCTCTCTCCATGGTGTAGATCCTGTTGTGGGCGCTCTGGATGTGCTTTTCAACATTGTCTCCTTCCATCATTCTCTCAGCCTGCTCCTGCTCAAAGCAATCTAGGGTGTTGTCATCACTAACTGCATCCATCAGGGCCTCCCCAACATTGTCTGTCACAGGCAAATATAACACTGGTTATGGGAAAGAATGGAGACTTTGCTCCAATGTACCACAGACCTGATCTTTAGACTGCCACACCAAGGTTTTCAGTGAGTGGTGCTATTTTAGCATGTACTACAGTACATTACTACATACGACTAGTTCATACATTGCTGTGTCTATCAATAAATCTCCCTGAATCTGTGCTTTTGATTCCTGTAGCATTTTATCCTTTGTGTATAAGTACACACAAGTAGGTCTTTAGATCAGTATTGCCACAAAGGCAACAGAAAATGGGCATATGAGAGTGAGGCTGACTATGAGTTTGAAGGCTGTACCTCCACACGCTGCTTGAGGAGACCATGACAGGCAGTCAAGGTCTTGTGCTAAGCCTTCCTCCTGGGTGGCGCCTTCAGCATTCTCACTGACTCCATTGCCCCCGCCTTAAACACCACAAAAACACCATGTAGTTTAATCAATATACTACAATATGTAAGTAACACATTCAGAAGTGTATGCAGGATGGTGGATATAGACAAATTGATACACTACAAAAAATGGCATTTCAAATTTAAGATGAACTGTTTCTGTTTTGATACAAGGTGGCCTAAAATTAACAAAATTATTGAGTAAGAAAGTTGTAGATTTCCTACAATAAGACAATATGCCTAAATGCAAGCAAATTAATCTTATTCATAAGATCTGTTAGTTTGTTAATGAAATTAGATTTTTGTCTAAATATAAGAATGCTTAGATTTTCTTTTTTTTATTTGCAGTGTAGAGGACCAGGCTTGGGTATATTTCAGCTGTCCCAGGTCATACATGCCCACCATTACCTCCCTGCCATCTTCAAAAAAGTTCATGTTCAGAGCATTGTGTGAGGCTCCTGAATGTAGTGGTGTAACAGACCGTAGAAGACCCGTGATCTTCAGTATGCATGTGAACCGCACATTAGTTGCAATGCTTAACTATAATAGTGTGAAATACAGTTTTACTGCCACTATTACTTTTTAAAGCAATAATTCCCTAAATCATAGTGCTGCAGAAGTCCATAGAGGACATGCATTCATGGCTTGAAATTAATTTCTCACAATGGGAAACAATTCCCCCCTTATGTGTAACACATGTGGGGGGAATTTTAGATATTCAGTGGGAATGCAATAAAAAACTGAGTGGATTCAATACCATTAGCCATGGCATTTCTAGTGGAATCTGCTTCCCTCTCTCTCTTAACAAATGTTGCGTGTCTAAAAACGTTTGCTTTCCCGAGATAACAACTTTTGTGATCTCAAGAAAGTCTCAATAAAAATAACCTTGGCTATGTTGAGATCACAAGAAAAATAAGTTGTAATCTCAAAATAAGACGATGATGGATGTCTTCTGTGGACTTCCATACGATGTAGTTGCAGACAAAGCAGTTGTATGTTCACATGAATGGAGCATGTTAAGTTCCTTGATTTAAATTTTCTTTTAGTTCTTCAAGTAATAAATGGAAAGCAAAGTTATATTTGTCTCTCTCTCTGCTTTGTTGATTCAAAAACCGAGATCCGAACCATGAGTTTTGTGATCCGTTGCAACCCTACCTGAAGTGTCACTCATGAAGGTCTACTACATTTAACCATACACATGATATAATTAACTCAGTAAAACAACACTAGGAGCAATATGGTATACCTCTGCTTTTGTGATAAATTATTGGCTACTGGTATTCTAAATTTTTGAAAAGTAAAAATGTTCTAGGTGCACTACATTTTCATGCTTACCCATGCAGTGTGGACCACTGTTAATCACAGAGATTCCAAGCCACTCTAAAATCACAGACTGCTCCCTCTCACTCCCCACATAGTACTCTTCCAAAGGCTGAGAAGGTAAATTCATATACAGAGTGATGACTGGGGAAAACAGCAAAAAAACTTTAAAAAATCCACTAAGCACTAGAAGATGGCTGACCCTTCCAGCTTCCAGGCTGCTTCCATGAAGAGATACGATGTGCTCGCACAGGATAGACTCATTCAGAATTCCATTTTCAGAGATTTCAAGCAAAGAAGCATTTCTTCCAACTTCCTCCTCAGCCTTCTTCATCTTTTCTTTAAGCTATGACCCGGTCAAAGAAATGCATCAGCTCAGTTCATTGGGATTTTTCAAAGTCAGAATGTTACTTTCCCCTGTCAACCTCACTATCAAGTATTCATGTTGTTGTTGAGATAAATGTAAGCAGAACCATTCAAAATAACTATTCAGCCCTACTTTGTGCTATGTCATTTTCCCAGTCCAAGAAAAATGCCTAAGTATAACCACTGAGTCCAAGATGGCCTGCAACTCACATCCGAATGCATAGCTTTTAGGTGTCCAGGTAAACAAGCCCTTGAAGCCCTCTGGTTGCTTCTCAGTTTGTTGAGAGAATAGTTTTTGATAATGTCGCTGGAGGATCGTCCCCCAACTCGCACCAGCCCAAGTGGATCTGTCATGTACTTGAGGATGCCTATGAAGATAGAGAAAAATATCTGAAATCCTTTTTGTTCATACTAGTATGATAATCACAACAAACGCCTAAATTCAAATCAATAATAATAAATCAATATTAACATGCTGCAGAAAATGTAGTACCTTCCAAGAACTGGTCCAATGCGTGGTTTGTGTAGCAAACAACCAGAATAGGACTGCTACAACCAATGCCCCAGACCTGAGCATTATCCAAGAGTGCCTTGACAATCTTAAGACCAACGTGAGTCTTTCCTATTAGAATGATGGGAATGTTAAATAAGATTAAAGATAATATGATAATTATTCCCAAAACACAGAAAAAATTATTAAACTACTTACCTGTTCCTGGGGGGCCTTGGATTATGGCAAGTTCCTTTGTCAATGCCAGCTGCACAGCTTTCATCTGAGAAGTATCTAATTTGAGATTCTCTTTACTAGGCCAATCATTCAAATTTAAAATATTCTTCACATCCCCCTCTTTTCCCACAAGTTGCCTCTGATAAACAGGCCGTTGAAACTGTTGTTTTCTGTTTTGCAGTGCCGGCTTTTGTAAATTGGAAATTTTTGCACAATCATTCATCAGTGCCCAAAGACTATAATTGCCTTTATTGTCTTGTAGATACTTAGGAGGAGTGATGTCAGATTCACACATTACAATATACTTCTGCATTGGCAGGTCTTCTGCATTTATCTCCTGTAGACCTTCAAGGACATGTCTGTAAGCTTCAAAAAAGGCTGTTGTCTCAACCATTAAGAATGACGACTTTTGAGAGATATTTGCAAGTCTCACCCTATTCTCGTCATTGAAGAAGACATTTACAACACCTTTTTTAAGTTCTTTTATATCTCTGTGGCCAACAGTGGCAAAAATCATTGTTCTAAAATTGTCCATAGACAGGCAAATCAGTGCTCCATAGAGGAGCCTCTTCGAGGTCTCCCAGTTGACATATTTCAAGTTCTTTGTGTCAAACCTAATTTGGTACAATATTCCTTTTGGAGTACATACAGGAGAAGTAATGGAGGCATTAAAATAAACTCGAATGTCAAGTCTTTGTTGCATTTTGTCATTGTCATTGCCCATTAGGAGTTGTGAAATTCCATCTCTCAAGGGCTTAACAAAGTCTTCCCTCTGAAGCCGGAAGTGCGTGTCCAGGTAGGTGTCACTGTCTGCAAACTTCTCAGTGATAATGTTGGGCCTAATGAATGGCTTCTTGGTCGTGTGTATATCTCCAAAACTTGGAAATATTGACATGACCCTGAAATTTTCAATACTTGACTCATCATAATCTTCCAAAAGCAAGGTGTAACTGTCTGACTGGAAAGTTCTTTCATGTTTCTTGTTTTTCAGATGTGTAACTATCATCTGAAGCTTCTCCACCTTATTTTGTGTTTCCTTTGGAACACTGATACCTGTATAGCTTTGCAGTTTTGACATTTGAGTCTCCAAAACTGCAAGACCAAGGGATACAACCACAATAGTACTTGATGGAAAGATGTCCACTAATGTTAAGTAGAGGTCCATTATTTTGTTGATTTTATCTATGGTACCTTCCATCTCCAACTGGTCTTTGGGTTTATCTATGTTCATAATAAACAGGGGCAATAAACATTTCACAAACTTAGACTCTTTCACCTCAACAAGAAGATGCTGCAAGTTCTGTCTATTCGTTCGACTGCTGCATGCTTTGCTGAGAACATCAAGAATTTTAGATAAGACAGAGTCACTGGTCTCTTCTTCTGTGTTTAGTAAATTGTTCAAACCACTGCCTGGTGCTGCCAGTTTCATGACTATTTCAGATGGCTCCATTTGTAGAATTGTCTCAAGTGCTCTCATATCCAACTTCTGACTTCTGTGGAGTTTTTTGCAATGGTCTGTGGGAACCTTACTTCCATTATCATTAATGTTCAACAGATTAGGTTGACTGACTGTCCTTTGGGAAACAAGTGGCTGGGTCGTTCTAGATGTATGCTCTGGAAAGATTTGTAATAATTTTAGTCAGAATATGTTGCATCTATATGTGCTATTTTACTAAGTTAAACAAATTACCCATCTGCTCTTACCTTTTTGCCTTGCACCACTCCTCTGCAACCCACTCTGGGATCTACGAGGTATTTGATTCCAAGCAGCATCACTGGGTTGAGTCTCTGAACGAAATGTCTGAGAAGAATGGCGGTAGCCTCTTTTGGCATTGTTCTGGGCAAAAGTACTACCTGTAACACATTGGAAAATAAAATCATTAATATCATAACCAAACTTTATATTTAAATATTCTTGTTACCCTACTTTATATGGAAAGTAATTATAACCAAAGCTGTTCAAATTCACCTGTTTTAAAAGGGACCACTCCCTTCTGCTGTTGGAAGTCATCTGATGTTTCATTATGCTCTTGTCTATGTCCAGGTCTCCTTCGTGATCTACCAGTTCTGATGTTCCATGAGTGACCACCAGAGACACGGTTTCTCACTGTTTCCACTGTAAAGACATTTCCATTCCCATTTAAAATGAATGCTTTTATCTACTGGCACTTAATAGTCAGCGATTTCAAGCAAAGCATCGTGCTGATGTACAGTATAAAGTTTGGGGAATGTTTGCTGCATCATTTCTTCATACATAAACACCTGTAATTGGTACAAAAGTAATGACATAGAAAATATGAACAATACATAGCAAATGTGCCAGTATTAAATTAACAGTGCATGATGATTGTATTGGTCCACACCTCTTGGTAGGGCTGAGAGATATGGCTGATAAACAATAAATATATTTAGGTCATTGTATTTGTATATGATATATATATATTGATATATAAAAAATTTCTGAAATACTTTAAAAGTTAGAACAGAAAGTTGGAACAAATTATGGTTTTTATCTATTCACATCAATGTTTCCCAGCTGGAAAAAAGGGCATCTCTGCACATAATATTACAAAAAAAACCCTTCTTAGAGAAAAATACAAATTGATTAATATTCAAGTGCCGGAAATGTAAACAAAAATATCTGTAGTATTTAAATAATTAGATTGTTCAGGCAAATGCTTATATTCAGAATAAGAATATTATTTTTACAGTGCTGTTTTGTTCCTCTGCTGCAGTGGTTCACATGAACCGAACCAAAACAAACAAACAAAAAGTTTCAAATATTTAACTAAGTTATTTAAAAGTTAAACATATGGAGTAAAATTACAGCCCACATAGTGCTGCAAACAAATGTGTTTACCATAAACAAAAACATGTGTATATTGCAAACAAAATAGATGTATTGAGAAATTCTGTCAAATTTTTGGCCACTTTGCACTATTTTCAGCACTCATTTTTCTTCATGGTATGTATGGTGCACTTTGCAATACTTCTGTCCCGTTGCTCTGCATTTTTCTTTGTCTTTCACTATCTTGTCTGTGAGCAGGACTTTGTGGTGTGGTGGGCAGGGCTTTATGGGGCTGTCTGTTACTACCTGACAGTGATGGGAAAGTTACTCTGGGAAAGTAATCCGATTACTGATTACTAATTACTCAGTTCAAAAGTAATCTAATTACTGATTTATGATTACTTAGTTACTTTTTGTGATCATGTATTTCCACAATACTTAAATCCACTTCATACCACCAGCAATTCAGTTCTTAAAGAAACAACAACAGGGGTCTAGTTAACACTTTATTGGCATCTTGAACAAGGCCAAAACAAGTACCCAATTTCTAAGTTGAATATTTAATAAAAAATAAAATGCATCTTTGTTTTTAATCAAATAAATACAACTCTTATGCACTGTTTTTGCAAAGTCACAATAAAAAGTCCTGAATTTCTTTCTTCCAGTTAGAATGTGTAAACAATGCTACTGCAATGCTACTGCATAGTAAATCATATTTTATAACAAAAAAAAATTCTTAAGGCAGCACTAGAAAGTTTTAGAGAGAATGTCAAGAATTTCCAACATAAACCTTCCAACACAACTAACATAACTTGTGCTTCGTAAAGCATTTTGAACTTGCCTCTCCTTAATTTTCTGGGTCAATGGAATTGGAGGATGAAAAACAGTGGTTGTATCGCATCAAAAGAAGCATCTCAAATCTCCGGTCAGACAACCTATTTCTCCTTGGTGTGAGAACTATCCTACCTAAACTAAAGAGGCACTCTACAGGTGCACTAGATGGTGTTGGGGTGTTGTACTTCAAGAAAACATTTTTGATGTTTGGGAATTGGTTAAGAGTATGAAGCTCATATCCCCCACATCGCAAATAGTCCATGACTTTTTCTTCTGCAGTGTAGGACTCATCAGAGTCTGGCCCAAACTCGTAGAAGTCCATGCCCTCACCTGGTTTAACCCAGTGAGTAAGTACTGTCACAGTCTTATCATCTACTGGAGGAACTGTACCACACTCTGCAATGAGGAGCTCATTCAGCCGCTGTCTTCTGTCATCCCTCACCCAGCGAAGCTTGAACTGTGGACAGCTAACAGCAGCCAGGAGAGCATCCTTGTTCTCAAGAACATCAGCAAAACGAGTCTGAATGACTTGAAAATATACATTTCAAAGAAATATTTAATATAATATTTAGCTGTATCTTTACTATTGCTAAAATTACTGAATATAAATGTTTTTTTTTTATATTTTTGGTCTACAAGTAATTAGATAATGCATGGGACATACCTTTACAATGACATCTGGCAGGCCAGCTGTCATCCTGGAGAGTGTATCTTTAGTGCTTAGAGTGCATGGATTGAACCAGTGTATAGTAACCCCCATATAGCTTTTATGATGAGATGTCCAAAAGTCCGCAGTAGTCAACACAAAGTAGGGATGTTAACCGATGACCGTTTGACCGGTGGTTGACCGTATCAACGTTAACCGGTCAAAGTTGTCGGTAGTCGGTTAAAAAA